TATGATAAAAATGAAATGCAAGAGCTTAGTGTACGCAAGTGTATGCTTGTATTTTTTATGCATAATCTTATGTCGTTTATGATGCAATTTTTATGTTAAGATTTAGTGGCATAATCAAATACAAATTTAAGGCTGTAGCTTTTCAGGAGAAGATATATATTATAATGCTCATCTACAATGTATATATCAGTAAGTTTTATTTTTTGGAAGAAGCTGGTTATATTTTCAAGACAAAAAGGAAAGCAATTACTGTTTTGCCTCATTCTCATTGTAATGTTGTGTAAATGTTACAGATAATATCACGTTTTACAGTTTCTGATGGTCACCTGAAATAAAAGAAAAACCTAGATTATCATGTATAATACACGGACATTCAGACCCTTTTATAGTGATGTTTTTGACTTGATTCCTCTTTTTTTTTTTTTTTCCTTATATTTCGCTCTAAGAATGGCAGAAACATATTGAGAAAATGGGTGCCATGAGAGTCTCTCACAGGAAAGACATTTGACTGGTTTGAGTTGTACTTTTCTGTCTCGTTCTAAACATTCAACGGAAAAACTTTGAGAGCTAAGGGGCTGATGGGGAAAGTGTGTTTAAGAGCACAGAGATGACCATGGATGCCCTTTTATGTGCAAAAGCTGTTTAAAAAGATCCTAGTTTCATTCCCTCTTGGCTTCATGTCAGTGCCAGTGTGCTAATGACTAGAAAAGGATCCAAAGTGTCACTACTTCACACTGTACACATACAGGTCATGTGACCCGAGTGAATTTATAGAAAATACTGGATAAGTTTCACATGAACAAAACCTCTTTGGATTAAGGGCATAGTTCTTTAATGTTTGATATCCGCAATAATGCACTCATGAAAGGTGACCGAGATCAAAAATGAAGTTTAATCAAGTGCAATGAAGTTATTAGTCTTTCAGAATTATATAAATGCTAATTTGACGGCTGCTTGTGGTCCTAAATGGTAAGTACAATGGCTGATCTCCTCATTATAGAGCCACACTGAACTCTAGCCAGCATAATCACACATTATTCCTTCGAAGATTTCATCTGTTTTAAGCCCAGGCTTTCTGTGGGGTGCCTTTCCACAAATTAAGGCCTTAAAAAGAATATCTTCTTAAGTGTTTTTGTCTTTTTTTCCATTCCAAATATCTAAACACCCTTAACATCCATTTACTTGAGATGCAAAATGAAGATAAAACGTCCTGTTTTCTGAGAAATTAAACAAGTTTATGCTCACAAGAACAAATATCTGTTAATGGGGTAGGAAAACACGTTTTGCCTTTAAATGGTTTTTAAAGGGAATTATTTTTAAAGGGCCCATTGGCAGATATTTATTCTTGTTTTAATAAAATGTACTTCATTTTTTTTTCTTTGTAATTGTGTCTTAAGACATTTGTGCTAGACAAGACAAACTCTGAGGAAGAACATCACTTGCAGTGCATGTGATCAGAAGGTACAAGTTATTTCCATATTCTAGTTGTTGGGAGCAGTTATTCAAGCCTTTAGCCATTTTTTATTTGTAAATGAAATGTAAAAAAGTAATGGATATCTGTTGAAAGTACATTTTGAGAACATTGATGTGTTGTGCTCCTTAAATGTTCTTTATTTGGTCTTAAAAAGTCTTACATTTACCTTCATTAAACCATGATCTACCATGGACAAGAAGGCATTAAATAGTGTGTGTATAGGCCTACACACACACACATATATATATATATATATATATATACATACACACACACACACACACATATATATATATATACACACACACACATATATATATAATATATATATATATACATATACACACACACACATATATATATATATATATATATATACACACACACACACAGCAAAACAGTGCTGAAAAACAAAAATAAGTCAATTTTATCTTACTCTTTTCTTGTTAGTCACTAAAGTGCTGCACAATGGTAGCACAAATCATACGACTTCAATAAGCTAATTTTGGCAAAACAAATATTACCCTTAAGAATGTGTATTTTGACATCTTGAGCAGAATCAAAAAATTTGAGCTGCATATGACCTTTAACGACTTTTGCACTGTCCTACACATTTCTGTCAACTTATAACTGAACACATTCCGTGATAGAAGTGGAAACATTATTTCTAGAGCAGCTGCTGTGGTGAACATTTACTTTCTACTGGAGTTAAATGCACAGATGTTACACTTGTACATGTTGAAGAGCACAGCATTTGAGGAAATCAGCTTTATTATAGGAGTGTTGGAGAGAGGCAACAACATACCAAATCATGGAAAAAGTGTCCTGCACATTATCACCATTTATAATGATTGTCTGAATCTAGAGTGATCTAGATCACTCTCTACGACACATCTGTCTGGAATAAACCTTCATGTAATCCCGAAATACATTTGTGTCGATGCAGCACCTCGACCACTGTTAAAACTCTCAAGTACAGTGAACGTAATGAATTCAATACCCATCACATTTTCTTGAAATAGCGAGTGGAATATTGTCACATATATAATGAAATATACAAACAATAAAAGCAACATATGAGCTACTCATTTTTGTTGATGTTTAGACACCAGTCAATTTAAAGCGATCCATTATTTTGTTCAAAAGGTCAGTAACACCTTAACATCCGGAGGACGTTTAGTGCAATAATAAACTGTTTTATTTCTATTATACCACTTCAATTATCAACAGGAATTAAATAACACTTGCCATTGTCAACAGAAAGCTTCTGCTGTAAAGAAAAAAAAAAACACTAGAATAGTCTGAAAATCGGACTGAAGGTAAACATTTACAAATTTATCCTAAAGATTCAGAAACAATGACGTAATCGAAAGAACCACTGAGTTTGGGTCAACTATAGATACAGTGTGGCCAGTCATTTTTAGCCTTTGAGAACATTTCAGAGGTAACGTGCTGCTATTTTATCATGCAGTTTTTCAATTATTGAGTAACCATGTTAAACCATTATACCCTTTATATTTATGCTTCTTCCATCTGAAACCACTTCAATTAGAGTCACAGGCTGAAAAATCACTGACAAACAGCAAAACAACAATTTTATTTTATTTCTGGAGTCTCTTTAAATGTTTTCATTGGAATTTCTGTTGTTAAACAAGCGCTTTTATCAGGAGATTTAATGTCCGGTTCAGACTACACGATTTTAGCCTGATTTTGCCACGATTTGCTTGACGTAGTGTGTCGTGGGGATTCGTAAACGACAATGGGTGTCGGGACGCAAGATTACATCGTTTCAGCTCGTGTAGTGTGTCATAGTGGACGACAACCGATTCCGCGTCTGCGATGCTTCACGACAGAAAGACTAGCATGTTT